TGCCAAACGCCCCATTCCCCGTTCTTGGCGCTCGCTGCACACTCGAGCAGTCGTCGTTTGGTTGCAAATGTCAGCGCCACAGCCGTCTCAGCAGTGGACACGTCCAGAACTCCCGGAGTGTACCCCACCCTCACATTCCGAGCTTTGCAGGCTTCCACATCAATGTGGTTGTGACCGACTGACATGGTGGACACAATACGGAGCGAGGGCCCAGCAGCATCGAGAACTTCGGCGTCCACCTTGTCCGTTAGCAAACAGAACAGCCCCGCGCATCCCTTCACGCGTTTGAGTAGTTCCTCACGTGGTATGCAGCTCTCTTCAGAGGAGAAGGATTCCACCGAGACCGCGTTGGCACCGGCCGTGGCAAGTCGCTGGCGGAATTGCTCTGGACGACGCAATACAGGAAGTTTAGTCTCATACAGAGTAGCAGGTGACACGAATCAACCGGGCCATCAACGTACCAATAGCATACGGCACGTTCCGAGAGAAAAAGACCTTGCGGGGCGTAGCGGAGCTCATGTCGAAGGAGAGGATCAGTGAATGTTGAATGTGCGGCTATGGAAAATGACGATGCTGGATTGGTAGAAAAGGGAGATTTGAGGATCGTAACAGTTGACATGCATCTCAGTTGCTCCTTGCAGACTTCCAGCCACATATCCAACGTCCATGAGTTCTGCGAATGCCCCCCGCAAGGTTTTCTTCACACGTAACTGGCCATACGCAATTGGTAAGCGAGCTGCATTTACTTTAGAGGTTGCTGGGAAGATTCGTTTGACTGGTTTCTGGTTTCCATCGTAGATTTACTTCGCCAACGAATTGGAAACTCCGCAGCGATTGAGATCGATGCGTTCGCTTCGGAAGACACGTGCATCCCGCGTGAGGAGCTGCTGCAGCGTGTAAAGGGATGCTCAGGCATCTTTTGCCTGTACACGGACACGATCGATGCTGAGCTGTTAGACGCTGCTGGGCCTTCGCTGCGTGTTGTGTCCACGACATCTGTTGGCTTCAACCACATCGACGTGGAGGCCTGCAAAGCCCGCAACATCCGCGTCGGACACACTCCCGGAGTACTTGATGTGGCTGTAGCCGAGACGGCTGTAGCTCTGACCTTCGCCACCAAGCGACGGCTGCTCGAATGTGCGGCAAGCGCCAAGAACGGCGAGTGGGGAGTCTGGCAGCCCTTCCAGTACTGTGGCTCCGATATCACCGGCAGTACTGTCGGTGTGGTTGGACTTGGACGCATCGGCGCCACGTATGCTCGTATGTTGAAAAATGGTTTCTGCTGCAAGATCCTCTACACAGGACCTCGTGAAAAGCCAGAGGTGGCCAAATCGCTCGGTGGAGACCCCGGTTCAATTGAGTACGTGGACATGGAGACGCTGCTACGCGAAAGCGACATTGTGAGTCTCCACCAACCACTAACCGAGGTGACTCGCGGTAGCATCGGTGCTAAAGAGCTTGAGTTCATGAAACCCAGCGCAGTGTTGATCAACACCGGCAGAGGTGAGCTGGTGGACCAAGATGCACTCGTGGAGGCGCTTCAGAACAAGGCGATCGCGGCGGCCGGCTTAGACGCGACAACTCCAGAGCCGCTGCCTCCCTCACATCCACTATACTCGCTTGAAAACTGCATCGTACTACCACACGTAGGGTCGGCCTCAACGAAGACCCGCCAGGTGATGGCGAGAATCGCCGTAGACAACGTACTGGCTGGTGTGACGGGCGAGGAGCTTCCGCATGCGGTGTGCTAGATGAATAACGCTTACGATGAGTTGTACCCGTTACAGGAAACAATTAGTGCCTCGTCCACCATTGTAGCAGATTAATTTTTTGCAGCCACTTCAAGATGAACGAATGCGTTGAATACAGCTCGTCTGCCAAACTAAATTGATTGTGGACATCTGAGTGAGCTTCCTTTGTTCATAGTGACCACTGCAAACCTCTGCCTAGAGATTCTATTGACCAGCATTTTCTCCGATGTCTGAGTCATTGTGAACAATGTCCTGGAGGATTTTGACGACCTCGTCGAAGCCGTACCGCGGCTCCTTACCATTCATGAGATCTTGTAGCCATTGCTGTTCGATCACCGGAAGGAGTTTTTCTAGTCGCTCTGCGGTGCAATGTGGGTCGTGCTTCTTGCCAGGTTCGAGCACCACACCCTGTTCGCGCAGTTTAGCATTGCGGATCAACGTCTGCACTTTGACTCGGACTACTTGGATCAGTAGGTCCTTGTCCACTTGGATGGGCGGAATCTGCACGTCCTCGACTCGAGCACGGGACACGTGAGCCACGCTGTTGAGTCGACTGCTGTCGCTTCTTGGGCGCTTCCGGCCGGAGCGCTCCAGCTTGACGACGTCTTCCGGCAAGTCCGTCAGGGTCATGAACAATTTAATTATACAGTGACCGGAGACGAATAGCACGGTGGTGCTGCCAGCTGGAGAGCAGAATGACGACTGAACTGACTTGCAGTGCGCAGTGACAGACGAAGTTCACTTCGTCGACTTGACATGCAACGACCGTCGTCATCGATTTGAAGCGGCAACGGTACCGTGTTTTTAGCGCATTCAAACTCGAGGGAAACAAAGTTACAAAATCTAATAAAGATGGAGGTTGTACTAAAACTCATGAGTCATATTGAGCTCGCAGTGTTTTACGGGACTGTCGAGTTTACATTCCCATATACAACTGAACTGTAACCTTGCCGTACTTAAATGAAATGGCTACATTAGTGTATTAAACCAAAAACGCACATAGCCGGGGAGTGGATACATGGACTAGGGATGTCAGGAGTGCCGTCATACGGGGCACCATTCGCTGCTTGCCGTGCCGCGCCTCGAGTGGATCTCCGGCCCCTTTCGTCCCCTTCGCGAAGCTGCTGACTGAGCCATGTCGACCGAGATGAAGGTCTCGCTCAGCATCAAGGAGTACGTGCTGGTGGCCATGACGCTGACACTCGTGCCCATTCTGGTGCTGGAGCTCTACGGCGTCTCGCATACTCGCAGCCACAACCAGGCCTTCCACGACGGCACCCCGGGCATGCCGCAGCTTACGGACTTGGTTATCGCCGGCGTCACCTCGGTGCTGCTCATTGGTGCGCGCTTTATCGCTGGAAAAGCATTTGCACCGCTTGCTCGCGTCGTGCTCTCGCCAAAGAAGCGCGTAGTCGAAGACCGTGTGCATCGCTTCACCACGGTGCTGTTCAAGTTCATGTGAGTGCAATTTCTACATATTTTTCGTTTTATTAGCATTGGAGGAGATATGTATTGACAAAATGCTTTGGTGCTTGGTTCCAACAGTTACTTCTCGGCCATCACTATCGTGGGCTTTAAGGTGATGGAGCATGAGCCGTGGTTCCCGCCGTCACTGGGAGGCAAGGGTGAAGCGATGAAGACTTTCGATGTGCTGTCCGACGCGCCTTCTAGTGCGCTCACTTACTATTTCATGGTACAGCTCGGATATCATCTGCACAGTCTGCTGTTCATGGTCTTCTTCTCGCCGATTCGCAACGACTTCATCGAAATGCTGCTGCACCACGTAGCCACGATACTTTTGATTGGCGGCTCGCACCTGGCTAATTACACGGAGTTCGGGGCACTTGTAGTGTTCACCCACGACCTGGGCGACGTCACTGGATGTACGTACATGTTTGCGATTGAGTGTACTACTGGTACCGTCGAAACTAACTCCATTTTTCTTTCCTTTTGTATAGATGGTATCAAGTCCATTGTGGACTCCGGTAACACGCCTCTGGTTGTGTTCATGTACTTGGTACTGCTGGTTTCGTGGGCGTATACACGGCTGTTCGTGTTCCCATGCCACCTTATCAACAGTACATTCACCGCGCTGCCGCAGGAGCATTTGAACATCAACGCCACATTCGCACAGCCGATGGTCGTTATGCTGTGCATGCTCATGGTGTTGCACGTATACTGGTACTTCCTTTTCCTAGTGATGGGGTATGCACTGATAAACAAGGGCGTGGCTGAGGACATTCAGCACAAGGTGGAAGACCCCAACGAGGAAGACAACGCAGCTGAGGAAGCCAGCGCTGAGACCTCGCGCGTCAAATCCAAGGACGACTAAGGTTGCACTTGATAGCATAAATCAACAAAGCATGCGTTTGTACGAAATGGATTATGATCACGACCTGATTTCCGTAATCAGATCTAACTGTACATTAAATTAATATGTGTGAACCACATAAGTCACCAAAATTGTTCATGGGACGCATAATCAGATCTGATGATTGGCCTGCCGGATTCGGACGGCTGGTCGTGAATAGCTTACAAATTCCAAGATACAACGATCCTGCGTCCGATCCGGCAACGCATCAGCCAACGAGCAGTTGCTCACCAACATATCCCATCCTGCCCCCCTGATCGTTCGTCAAGCGAGCGTCCAGCAGCAGCAGCCATGGCCGCCACCGAGATGAAGGTGCTTCTGAGCGCCAAGGAGTACGTGCTCGTGGCGCTGACGCTGTTGCTCGTGCCCATTGTGCTGGCCGAACTCTTCGGCGTGGCACAGATGCGCGCCGCTATCCCCGAGTTCCAGACGGACCCGGACATGCCACATATCAGTGAGTGGCTCATCGGCATCGGCTTCGCGTTCGTCATCATTGCGCTGCGCTTTGCCTTTCTGGCCGTGGCCAAACCACTGGGCCGCCGAGTTCTGTCTCCGACCAAACGACTACACGCGGATCGCGTTGAGCGCTTCGCAACGGTGCTCTTCAAGTTCATGTGAGCTAATTGCCTCGTCTCTGAAGGTCGGAGGACCCGTTGGTCGCTGACTAAGACTCGCTTTCTCTGTTCTTGTTGATACTGTCGTAGGTACTTTTCTGGAATCACCGTGGCTGGGTACTACGTTATGCGCGACGAGAAGTGGTTTCCACCAGTGCTCGGAGGCAAGGGTGTGATTCGTGAAGCTTACTTGATCCTGCACGAAGCGCCAGGCTTCGCTCTTAAGTACTACTATTTCGTACAGCTCGGCTACCATTTCCATAGTCTACTGTACATGCTGTTCTTCTCCCCCATTCGCAACGACTTCATCGAGATGCTGCTGCATCATTTGGTGACGATCATCCTCATCGGAGGATCGTACCTTGCCAACTACTGCGCCATGGGAGCGCTTGTGACGTTCACGCATGACATTGGCGACGTGACCGGCTGTAAGTGTGTGCCTGTTGCAACTCAAGAATGGTGACTTTTACTAACTATGCGTCTGTCAATGCTTAATAAATAGACGCTATCAAGTCGGTTGTCGATACGGGCAACACGCCGCTGATTGTGGCCATGTACATCGTGCTCCTGGTCTCTTGGGGCTACACGCGGTTGTACGTGTATCCGTTCCACTTGATCTACAACGCCATCTTCGTGATCCCTGAGGCCAATCCGCATGTGGTTGGCATCTTCTTACACCCAGGCAACACACTACTTTGCATGCTGGTGGTGCTACACGTGTACTGGTATTGTCTTTTCCTCGTCATGGGCTACACTTTGATCCGCAAGGGCTTGGCGGAAGACATCCAGGACAAGTGCTCGGATGTGGACGAGGGTGAAGGAGAAGAAGCACCATTGCTAAAGACAACGACAACCAGCTCTAGTAGCAAGCCGAAGAACGAGTGAGAACTAAGCACGGTTGTAATTGCTACGGTATCACTTTCCCGCCATCTTTACTCCAGAGAGATTGGTAACGACACACTCGTGCGTACGTTTGTTCAATAGTAGCGTGAGGACGCACTGCTTTCCAATTCATGGTTACCTTCGCTTGATGGTGACAGCATCGGCAGGGGTTCAGCGCCAGCACTTCATGCGCAGTCACACCACAACCAAATGAATCGCGGTAGCTTGCGAGCAGAGGTGGCCGCACAGTAATGCTTTCACGGACTGATTTCACTCTTCTTACAGGATTCTTAATTCTTGAATTCTTGAAAAGTACTTCAAGTAGCAAGCTCTAATTGTGAGCGTTTTGGACAGAGTATTATGCCGTGGCAAGAACCTCATAAAATGCAGCAAACTTCACTTTTTCATGATGAAATCTTTATCGTTCAGCAGGAGACGCCGCCTTGTGTATGGTACATGGCCACGCGCGCGTACAACGTGTATTCCAACGTGGAATTTCCACCCACAATAGGAATTTCTCTCACCATGGTGGCCGACTGGTTGGTCGACATCACACTGAGCGTCGGCGTCAACGCGGCGGTGATGTTGCTTTGTTGGGTGCGGGGTGCACCATCGACCACGGGGCTGCAGCTTTCGAGAGCTGCCGAGAACAGCAACGGACTGAGCGTCTACGCGACGTTTCCGAGCCACTTCAGCAGCGGACTATGCGGGGAAGACGTGCAGCTGGCAGGAGGTGTTGTGGTCGCAGTGGCCATTACAGTGGCCATGGCGACCGAGATCACAGCGACAGCGGCGAGCATGACTCGAGGAGCGTTGGCATGAGCCGAACAAAACCAACGCGAATGTACTATACTGAAATCAAGACAAATAAACATTCATGACCTTACCGCGTCGTCGACGTTAATCCCCATTTACTCATGGCGGTCTTGTTGCAGTGTCTTCCGTAGGCCTAGCTAGCTGCGGGAATTGACGCTGTGTACCAAAAGTTTTGCATTCCAGCGGTTTCGTTGCATCGCTGAGAACTACAATATGCGACTGTCCCCAGTTGCTGACAGAACAACAAATGGAGAGCTGGGGTGTGGAGATTGCGCTTGGCCTCAGTATGAGCGTGGCGGTGCTAGCCTTCTGCAGGACCAGTGGCTGGAGGCCCGTGGGCATGAGCAGCAGTATACGATGGCATGACACACACCGCGACGACGAGGAGACAAACGACATTGACGCGCTCGAGCCAACTATACTGTGGAACGGCGGCATCGAGACTACAGCGGGGTTAATTGTGGCTGTGTCGGTGATGGCGGCAGTGGCAGCGGAGATCGCATCAGAGACCGGAAGACACGTAATTGGAACCGCAATGTGCTGACCAAGAGCTTCCTGAGAACTACGACGACTTACAATACAACTATGTACTTATTCAACTGTATTTCACTGTTGTTAGCAGAAATTTCTCAATCTTCTTTGCAGTCTAAGCCGTGGCACCGCTACCTACACCACCCTTGTCGACGCTTTCCCTGATGTTTTCGAGTCCACCAGCGTCGTTCCCATTGCTGTCACGGAACGCCCTGAGCCCGACATACCCGAAATGAGCAGCATGGAGCTTGAGGAAGTTCTGCTTGCGTCGCTCCGCGTCTTTGAGAGCTTGATTATCATCGGCATCGACCTTGTTGACGTTGTTGATCGCCGGCAGGAACGGGTTGGACTCCAGCAATACCTCGTTCGCTGGGAACCGACCAAGGTTGACGAACGCAAACTGCTCGTGCAGCTCTGGTTTGTTCACACTGAGCTCGGCGAACGCACGCTGCGCCTGGCCACGAAGCCCTGCAGGGTTACTGTCGTTTTGGTACGTTGCGAAGTCGAAGATGTCGGTCGGGAACATCTGCAGCTCCTAGTTGGCCATCGTGCACAGGACTTGCATCGGAATCGTGTCCTCGGGCTGCGGGCCGTAGAAGAGACCGCTTTGTGGTGCAGCCAAGCTGATCAGCGTGTGCACTTGGTGGTCGTCCATCTCCTCGATGACAGATCGAGCCATTATGCCGCCCAACGAGTGGCCGATGAAGACGTAGCCATTTTGGAATCGTTCGTCGCTGGCGACTACTTCGCGTATCTGCGCGATAGCCTTGGGGATCTGCGTGGGCAGTGCCGCCACCGACTCCGCACCTGGAGCAAAACTCAAGGCTACAAGCGCTCGGTCATTGACGGCGAACGCTTGCTCGTACTTCACCGCATTGCTCGGGTCTCCTGTGAGTCCGTGAAAGAAGAAGGCAGGCAGGTGGAGATCCGACGTGCAGTTGGCCATGTTTGGTGATGTGAGACGGCGAAGGGTGTGGAGGGTTTGAAGCGGATTGTGAAATGAGGAACAAACTCCACTCAATCGCGACTACAAGAAATGCTGCAATCGTATAACTAGACGAAACGATTAATTTGCGTTGATATCCACTACTCGGATACATTGCTGTAGACCTGACCGCTCGTACTATACAAGCTGTACAACTTTTCCTTGACCGTGCGTATCAACAATTGCGCTCCGGCGTCTCTAAGTAAGAAGGTGATGGTGCAATTAACTCTATC